ACTGCACTCCAGTCTGGGCGACAGAGTGAGACTCCAACTCAAAAAAAAAAAAAGTACATATTTTAGCCGGGTTCGGTGGCTCAGCCTGTAATCTCGCGTTTTGGGAGGCTGAGGTGAGTAGATTGCCTGAGTTCGTGGGTTCGAGACCCGCCTGGGCAACTTGGCGAGACCTCACCTCTACAATAAATCAAAAAAATTAGCCAGGTGTGGTAGTGCGCGCCCATAGTTCCAGCTCCTTGGAAGGCTGAGGCAAAAGGATCGCCGGAGCCCAGCAGGTCGAGGCTGCGGTGGCCGGGAGCGGCCACTTCACTCCAGTCTGGGTGACAGAGTGAGACTCCAACTCAAAAAAATTAAAAAGTACATATTTTAGATCAAAAATACTTTATTGCTAAAAATGCTAATTATCATCTAAGCATTAAGTGAGGCATACTCTTGTTGCTAGTGGAAGGTCATGCCTCAGTGTTGATGACTGCTGACTGATCAGAGTGATGCTTGATAAAGGTTGGCGTGACTGTGCCAATTTCTTAAAATAAAGTAACAATGAAGTTTGCTATATCAATTGACTCTTCCTTTCACAAAAGATTTCTCTGTAGCATGTGATACTGCTCGATATCATTTTACCCACAGTGGATTCTTTGAAAACCTAGAGTCAGTCCTCTCAGAACCTTTCAAAGCTGCTGCTTTATCAACTAAGTATATGGAATATTCTAAATCCTTTGTTGTCATTTCAACAATATTCATAGCATCTTCACCAGAAGTAGATCCCATCTCAAAAACCCACTTTCACTGCTTATTCCTAGAAGCAACTTCACATCCATTAAAGTTTTATCATGAGATTGCAGCAATTCAGTCATATCTTCAGGCACCACTTCTAATTCTAGTTCACTTGCTATTTCTGCTGTATCTGCAGTTACTTCCTCTGCTGAAGTCTTGAACCCCTCAAAGTCATCTCTGAGGGCTGGCATCAGCTTCTTCCAAAATCCTCTCTGTGTTGATATTTTGAACTTTTCCCATGAAATCACAAAAAAAGTTTATAATGGCATCTAGAATGGTGAATCTTTTCCAGAAGGTTTTCAATTTAGTTGGCCCAAATCCATCAGAAGAATCACTATGGATAGCTGCTCTAGCCTTGCAAAATGTATTTATTTAACAGTAAGACTTGAAAGTTTGAATTACTCCTTGATCCATGGGCTACAGAAATGTATGTTGTAGTAGCAGGCATGAAAACAACATTAATCTCCTTGTATATCTCAAGTGCATTGTCAATGAGCAGTACTTTTCTGAAAATAATCCTTTGTTCTGAGCAGTAGGTCCTGACAGTGGGCTTAAAATATTCAGTAAACCATGGCATAAACAGATGTGCTGTCATCCAGTCGCTGTTGTTCCATTTACAGAGTGGAGGCAGAGTGGAATTTAGCATAATTCTTAGGGCCTGGAGATTTTCAGAATGGTGAATGAACACTGGTTTCAACTTATAGCCACAAGCTGCATTAGTCCCTAAAAAGACAGCCAGCCTTCCCTTTGAAGCTTTGAAGCCAGGCACTGACTTCTCTTCTGTAGTTGTGAAAGTCCAATATACAGATGTTTCATCACCATTGAAAATCTGTTGTTTAGTGTAGACACTTTCATGTATTATCTGAGCTAGCTCGTCTTGAAAACCTGATGTAGCTTCTTCAGCACTTGTTGCTTCACCTTACGCTTTTATGTTATGGAGACACTTCTTTCTTTAAACCTTATGAACCGACCACTACTAGCTTTCAACTTTTTTTTCCTGCAGCTTTCTCACCTCTCTCAGCCTTCACAGAATTAAAGAATTAGGAGTCTTGCGCTGGGTTAGACTTTGACTTAAAGGAATATCATGGCTGGTTTGATCTTCTATCCAGACCACTCAAACCTTCTCCACATTAGCAATGAGGCTGTTTCGCTTTCTTGTCATTTGTGTGTTCACTGCAGTAGTCCTTTTAATTTCCTTCCAGAACTCTTCCTTTTCACTCACAGCTTGGCCTACTGTTTGGTACAAGGCCCAGCTTTAGGACCGTCTTGGCTTTCAACATGCCTTCCTTACTCAGCTTAGTCATTTCTAGTTTTTGATTTAAAGTAAGAAATGTACAACTCCTCCTTTCACTTAACGCTTGGAGGCCACTGTAGGATTATTAATGACCTAACTGCAATATTATTGTGTCTCAGGTAATAGGGAAAACTGAGGGGAGGGAGAGAGATGGGGAATGGCTGGTTGCAGAGCAGTCACACACATATTTATCAATTAAATCTGTCATGTTATATGGGTATAGTTCGTGGTGCCCTAAAACAATTACAATAGTAACATCAAAAGATCACTGATCACAGATCATAACAGACTTAATAATAAAGCAGAAATCTAAAATATTGTCAGAATTACCAAAGTATATCTGACACGAAGCAAGCACAAGCTGTTGGAAAAAATGGTGCCGATAGACTTACTTGAGGCAGGGTTGCCACAAACCTTCAATTTATTTTTTAAAAATGCAATATTTGCAAAGCGCAATAAAGTAAAACACACCAAAACAAGGTATGCCTGTATTTATCTTCTTTGTGTATTCTCATGTTACTTTAAAAGTATGTAAACCAGGTTGTCTTGAAAAGCACAGTTTTAAAAGAACAGTATCTGGGTTTGGAATTATAAATTTGAATCACAACAGAGCAATCTCTTTTGAAATACATTCACATTGCAAAAAGTGGGGAAGAGCCCTGTTCTGGCTGAAAACTCTTCATTTCATGAATACACTTTCTAACTGGAAACATACTTTTGTTGAATCTGTCTCACCTCATGCCATTTGACAGAGCGTTTACGTATGAGTCTTTGCTTGCCTCAAAACATCTTTTTTTAGGGAAGAAATTGAAGCTTCCAAGTTTTGCAGGCCACCAACATTTTCTCTTCTCAGAGGGAAACGCCCTGGCCTTGGTCATTCTATTCCTAATTACAAGCAGCAATCATGAAAATGCCTGGTGTGGAAGATCACGTAGGTCAGCAAGGTCATGCAGACCTTCATCAGAGAAAACAGTTTCTTCATGTTCATGAAATAAAATTAAACTGAAATGAATTTTGAATTAACATTTCCAGACTTCATGATAACTATACTTAAAGTTAGAAGCATAAAAACTACAGGTGGTAAAATCTTGACTGATCAATATAAATACTAAAAATGCTCTATAAAATTTGTAATGCATTATTGTCAAAACACAATATTTAGGAAAACATGTCACTAATAAAAACACATATAACTAAGTCCAAATATTTGCCAAAATAAAGTGATCTAAAGAAATAAAAAATAAAATAATAAGTTTTTTTTAAATGACACTCACCAATCACAATTGAAGACTCACAGTGATAATAACCATTACTTTGTTTTTCCTTCAGCATGGAGCAAAGATCTATGCGATATAATACTTCTTCTCCAAATCTGTGACTGATAAATTTTTCATATAATTCAGGGTCTATTTTTTTCACTCCCTTGAAATGACAAAGCAAAATCACATCGATCAATCATTTCACCCAGGCAGCCAGTTCATATTTATATCACTTTCTTAGAATCCAATAATACATTTTGGTATAAAGTACTGCCTACTGGCACTTGAAAACGGATACTACAAATTGTTGTAAAGTTGTTTTTAAAGTCTCCCTGCCCAGGATGAGTTGTATTTAAAAAAAAAAAAAAAATCAATGAAGAGTGTCAGGTTTAAATCTGGCAGCATTCAGAACTTCATACACTTTAAGCTTCAGAAATAATAAACCATATCACATTGAAATCTGAGATACAAAGGAAAGAGTAACCATCTCCAATAATAACGAAGTGAATAATTTTTTAAAGTAATGTGGATCTTAACATTTTATAGTAGAAAAAATGGGTACAATTCTTAAACTCCTAATGTAAGAAACACCCAAAAGATAATTAAAGGTTATTTGAACTGGAATGGAGAGGGAAGTGGATCTTACAGGTTCCATATCTGCCCCTCCTTATTTTCAAGGTAATTTCTTAACAGAAACAGTTGGCTATTGAAAAATTGCAGTGGGATGTCCTTGGTATCTAGTAGTTTCCCAAGACATGGGAAACAATATCTCCGCCTCCTCTGTGCTATACAACTGCCCTGCAACTCAGTCCCAAAACACAGTGCCTAAGATGAAGGCAATTAGAATATATATTTTCTCTTTTTATTGAAAAAAACTTACAGAAAATTTTTAAATTTAAATTAAATCACGCCAAACAGCTACTGCCATAATTTTATGTTTCATTTTTCCTATGCAAATACAAAGTACTTTCTTCCTTTTTATAGAATGTGGCTGCATCCTGAGTACTATTTGATAACCAGCTTTATTTGTTTGGTAACTAGGCCATCTCAACAAATAATATACAGAGGTGTAAAATATTTGGTCTCCAAAGTACTCCACTGTACAGAAGTATCATAATTTATTTATCCAATTATTTACTGTTGGACATTCAGGTTGCTCTCAATTTTTAGTATTATAAATTATATATAAAACATATATAGTATAAATTATAAATTTAATGTTATGTTAAACACGTGCTGGTTGATATACGTTGATTTCTGTTTTTCTTCTTCGTCTAAAACTGGGCTCCTGATCTGCACGCCCCCTAACTGCTCCACTCACAGCCTTTCCCATCTCAGGTGGCAGGAACTCTATTCTAGGCACTCAGGCTGACAGCCATGGGCTCCTCAAGTCCCCTCTTTCTCTTAACTCTATATCCAATCAAATCGTGTTGTTTCTACCTTCAAAACATCCAATTCTCACCCACCCATTGTGACCTTTGGCCTAGCCACCCCCATTTCTGTCTTTTACCTGGGTACCCCAATAACTTCTTGACTGTCCTACTGCTGCCCCCTCGACAGCCAGAGTGATACCAGCAAAGGACGTCAGGTCGGTTCACTCTTCTGCTCATCAAAAGCCTCCAAAGGATCTCCATTTCTCTCAAAGGAGATGCCAAAGTCCCCTTCGCAGCCTAATGTCCCATTCTGCCGGCTCCTGTGCTTCCTGGAACTTGTCTCCTCCCACCTTCGCCTCCCCCACCTCCCTGACCTCCTTGCTCCTCCTTGAACAGACCAGGCACAAGTCTCACAAAGTCTCTGTACTGCCTCTTTCCTCTTTCCGGAATGTGCTTCCCTCAAATAGCCTCATGGTTCATCCCTCATCTCCTTTAATTCCTTGCTCAAAAATTACTTTCTTAATAGGGTCTTCCCTGACCACCCCTTTTATTTTGTATTCAGCCCCAAGAGGTATCCCCAAATCTTCTCTACTCTTCTTTCTTTATACGTATTTATGCATCTGCCCCAGTACTTACCATCGCCTAACATATACAAATAATTATTAGGTTTCTCACTGTCTGTCTTTATGTCGCTTTCCATTAGAATGGAAGTTCCACAAGGGGAGGAATTTTTGCCTGGTTTTTACTCCCTGAAACATCCCCAGTGCCTAGAACAGTGCTCGACATGCAGCAGTGCTCAAGAGGTAATTGTTACAAATGCAAAGGAGGATAAAGTCTCAAGAGGACAGCTGACAACATCAAACACTGCTCATTCAGCATTCAATGGGATGAAACTGGGCAGATTTATTTGACTGGTGAACAGGATGCCACCTCATGAAAGGCCACAGACCACAATGCTAAGGAGTAATCAGAATGCATAGGGCTGGGTCAGTGGCTCATGTCTGTAATCTCAACACTTCAGGGGCCGACACGGAAGGATATCTTAAGGTCAAGAGTTTGAGACCAGCCTGGGCAAGACCCCATTTAACAAAAAATTAAATTAAAGAAAAAAATTAGCTGGGTGTGGTGATGCACACCTGTAGTCCCAGCTACTCAGGAGGCTGAGATGGGAGGATCGCTTGAGCCTGGAAGTTCAAGGCTGCAGTGAGCTATGATAGCATCCACTACACTCCAGCCTGGGTGACAGAGCAAGACTCTCTTCAAAAAAAAAAAAAGAGGCTGGGCTCGGTGGCTCAACCTGTAATCCCAGTACTTTGGGAGGTCGAGGCTAGTGGTTGCCTGAGCCCATGCATTGGAGACCAGCCTGGGCAACTTGGCAAGACCTTGTCTCTACAATAAAAATGGAAAAAAAAATTAGTTGGGCATGGTAGTGCATGCCTATAGTTCCGGCTACTTGGAAAGCTGAGGCAGAAGGATCGCCGGAGCCCAGCAGGTTGATGCTGGGGTGGCTGTGAGCATGCCACAGTACTCCAGCCTGAGAGACAGAGTGAGAACCCAACTCAAAAAAAAATAAAAAGAATGTGTGGGTTCAAAGTTCAAATCCTGCCTCTGTCTCTTCAGCTACATGGCTTCACTTCTCATGCATAAAAGGAGGTTACAAGAGTACCTATCTCAAAGTGTTATGTGGACTAAGTGAATGTATAAAAGTGCTTAAAAGCATAGTAAATGCTATTTATATACACATATGAATATATAAACACACATATATAGTCATTATTAACATCAGTGAAGTTTATGGAATAATTTCAGTCGAGTTAAGATTTCAGGAATACAAAATGTTCTGAGTAAATGGAAACTGACCACTCTTACTTGTCTTTTAAATATTGTGTGTGTGTGTGTGTGTGTGTGTGTGTTTAGGGGTAGGGGTTTGGGAAGAGTCATTCCTTTAGACCAAACAGAAGACCAGAGACAACATAGCAGATAAAAATGGCTTCAATTTCCAAGGTACCAATGCCAGTATTGATGAGTCACTATTACTATGATCTTCATTTCAGTTTGGTAAAGTATCATTTTTTTCCTAAGTAAGACCTAAAGAAAACATGAAACTGATTCTAATCTGCTAGGCCAATTAACTTAATTTTAGCAAAAGGTAAGCACCAACTATTTTGCAAGAATTTTTCGCAAATGACTTCTAACATGAGTCTTAAGGAGTTGACTTTTACTAGCAAGTAAAACAGAATTCCTTAACTCATAATTTATAGAAAGTGCTGGGGTTCAAAAGGGCATGAGACCCCTTAGAAGGCACTAAAATTATATTCCTTGATCAGAAAAATCTTAAACAATAAACAGTCTAGAAATAGATAAAATTCACTTTGTATACATTATAGCATTAGCATGATCTTTGTTCTCTAAATAATTTTTTGTTTGGCAATATATTTCTTTTCTAATAAAATCTATCTAAATTAATCTTGTCATTCAGCTACAGCAGGTGTTTTTCTTTCATAATAAAAGAAAGGACCACCATTTCTCTCACCTCTGAGAAAATAAATGAGTATATCAAAAGTGAATATCATCTAGGCTAAGGCTAAGTAAGATGTCTCCTACTTTCTGAATGAATCCAGTAGGTTGCCAAAATAATCTCAGGGATATCACCCTTCAGGATTATATTTTAAACCTGAAAAAGATTGAGTGATGGCATTACTTTCAGGTTTTGGACCCCTAAATTATTCTCCTCTTCCCTTCATCATAGGCCAGCTTCCTTCCAAAGCTATCATCTAACTATCAGTGGAGGAATATCATGTTAGGAAAACTCAAAGAATAGTATAAAAAATGGTTAAAACCAAGAAAATCTGATCGGTCAAGGCTAAGAGAATTGGAATTATTTGAAATATGGAGAAACAATATGTGGAGTATCTCAACAAAACCATGCTAAGGGTGTTGCAGTCCTGAAATTCTGAAGATGTTTGGTGACAGTCTAGTACTTTATATGAAGGTTATTTTTGCCTAGAACCTAGGAGGAGCAAGGTGTGCTTTTAAGAGTTTCATCTTTATCACTGTACCTAGTAAAAGGAACATACCAATTATGCAACATAACACTGAAAGAGAAAATATGAAGTTAAATACAGGATATCAGACTTTGAAACTATAAAGTAGTGGAAAGAAACATTAAACAGAAAGAAGTGTTCAAAACTATCTTAATTAATCATTAGAAATGGCTGATATTTTAGTTCCCTTTAGACCAGTTTCAGTCATAGATTAGGGAAAATTATCAGTGATGTTCAAAGCCACCTGGTAACCTTTGATACAATGTACCATGAAACTGATGAATTTCATTCTTGGTTGTAACTTGGCACCCAAACAGCCCATGCTAGAAAAAATATGCCACTGAAGGCATGGTAAGTATTTTTAGAATCATCTGATGGCTGAATCTGGTAATTAATGGAAATTATTTACTCAGGAAGCACTCACCACATCATTTATTTAGCTAAATGATGTGCATAATTTAATATGTACAACGAGATCTAAGATTTCTATTACTATGCTTCCCATTTTATTTTTAATATAGGAAGTAGACAGAGCCACAAAATATGAAAATTCACATTAGTTCATCTGAAAATAAAAACCATTCACTTAAGATTCTGAAAGATGAAATACGTGTTATTCATCTTTAATTTCTATGGCAAAGTTATTGTGGTCAGAACAAAGAGTTTTATTAAGAAGGTTGAGACTTTTTTGCAGTAGAAGATAACTTCTTATCGAAACTTGTTATAATAATCACAACTTCCATGAG